TTTTGGCCTCAGACCAAGCTTATTTGCCTTGTGACCTAGGAGTTGATGGTTTTGGAGTTGATGTACGGGTCAGAGTCGTATCACATGATTGACGGGATAGCGAGAACACTTTCAAAGCTGGGGTGGAGAAGACAAAGCAAACATGATGGCTTCACGATCCTCTCTTTCTTGTTCGTTTTGTAACCAAACTTCAAATATTTCGCCTTCAAAGTTAGTGACAAGCGTGATTTATTTTATGAGAATAGAGAACGTGTATCATTGAACTTCAATGTCCTTCAATGCCTACATTTATGTCACATTGAAGTCATTCGCCAGTGGGTAACCATGACATAACTGATCCGTTATCTATCGCGCTTCTAGGTAACTCCTGCAGCGACTCCGAAGGCTTCTGCGCCCACTCGCCCAAGCGGCCGATCCAGGAATTCATCGGGGTGGAGTGTGCAGCATTTCTGTACCACTGGAGTTTTGGTGCCCCTTAAGAATAAAAGTTCGTGGCCCTTTATGGTGCCCTCTGGAAGTAGGCGTCTCTTGAACATAACGATTAGGTGAGCCGAGACGAAGGTTTTGGTGCTTTTCCGGATGGACCCGCTCAGAATTTCTTCACCAGATATGTCACGGCCATCATGATGACCTTGAAGTTAGGTGGATGTTGAAAAAGAAGATTTTGGCCCCTTTGTGCTGCCCCTGGAATTTGAAGCCTTTGACAAATAAACATAAGCTGGTCCCGAAATGAAAGCCTTGGTGCCCCTTCATCACGATATTCTAGTGTTTTGAAGAGGCACGACATATTCATCCCGGCCAAAGGGGGGGGGGACATCGCTCCACATTCCTCGCTCTAATCTGCCCCCTTGTGAGAAGCCATTAGTTGAAAAATAAATACCTTAAACTTCGATGGCGGTGCTTGAAGTGAGCATCGTTTCTACACTCATAGTAAGTTATAGTTTTTTATCCATGGTATTGTAGCTATTTCATAGTTTTGAGGCATCCAGTTTTTCACGTCACTTGTGGGGTACCTAGGATTTCATCCCAGAGGTGCCAGGAGGCAGACGCGTGCTCCACCCCCCAATGCACGTCAACATGAAACTTGCCAAGTCCAAAATAATTTCGCCATAGCTCACATCCCAAGGCCCCAACCGTCCAATCCCCATAAGATAAGAGCTCCACCCACCACTTGTGGAAAGTTTAACGCTCTACACCCATTTGGCGTTTTGCCAAAAAAGTAAACAGTCAAAATTAACGGAAAGAAATCTGGCGGAAGTCAACTATTCCGTTATCTTTCCAACTTGTTTTTTCAGCTTGCTTTTCCCAATCACACATTTAGTGTTGGCTTATACATTACCGTTTTGACGGATTCGTGCCCATCTATGAAAATATGTCATGCTTATGGGACCATTGGAACTTTTCCGGGCAGAAACGGTGATAATTTTTCCACGATGCAGCAAAGCAGAATTAATCAGAATATATATATATATATATATATATATATATATATCTACACACACACACATATATATATATATATATATATATATATATATATATATATATATATATATATATATATATATATATATATATATATGTAAATATGATATATTCGCCACTGGGACATGGCGCATGTGCTGCCGAAGAAGAATGATACGCGCAGATAAAAACAAAACAGCACGCGTATTACTAATCGACGATAAGATGTCATTTTGGTTAGGATCTGCAGAGCAGCTAACCTCCAACAAACTGCAATGTTGTCTTCACCTCACCAAAAAGCCAGCTCTTAAATGAATGAAAAGAGTGAAAGAAACTACGACAGAAAGTTGTTCCGAAAAGGAGGAAGGAAAATTTCAACTACATTCCATTTTTCAGACTCTTCCTGTGAGAAGATATCTCGATTTTGTACATGAAAACTCAAAGATGAGGCCAACTAGAGTTTGGAGAAACGTCAAACCCACTCAATCTAAAAGTTCGGTGGGTGCCAGTCCCCTCCCCTCCCCCTCCCCCCCCCCCGTTCCCACACATGTGATGTGTCCACAGCTGATGCGACTTCGACAGTTGCAGATATTGACGACCATCTACAGTACGTTTGCTGACCTTGGCACGATAACAAAAACTGGTCTTACTAGTGCAGCTGTCGCAATTGTTGCCGATCGCCGTACGGCAAAGCTGGCTTTGTGCGCGTTGTCAGAGACCTGGTGGCAGCAAAGTATGCCTCGAACCGGCTGGAAATGGCAACGAAGGGAGTGTGCCATACTTTGGTGCTATTGAAAATAGGGTGAAATATCATCGCTAGTGACATCAACGCATCGTCTAAAAATAACATTGTAGAGCGATGCTGCAGCACTACCTGGTTAAGATAAGCAAATCAGTCTGTGCCATTGCGGAGTCAAAATTACCCTGCAAACGTTTCGCCACATCACAAGGCATATTTCTTTCTTTTTAGCCCGATATTTCATTTCTGGCGTGGGCGATCTTGTGACATACAAAGACCCTTAAGTGCGATATTCATCGCAGTCTCCGTGACTGCGTGCAGAGATTTCACGTCAGTCTCGCACCAAGTCCACATGACCATTGACATAAGAGAGTGTTAAAGACCACAGGCCCTCAAAGCGGTCCCCCAGTCGGAAGCAGCTGACGACGGTAAAATTTGCTGCAGGCTATCACCAATTGCTACGGACCAGAAGCATATCTTTTGGGCTCTGTTTACTTAGCTACTGGTATCAAAATGGCACCTGTACTTTGAACAAGGTCAAACAAATATTTGTGATTGCCACAGCCATTTAGCGAATAATGCATTGCCGGAAGCCTGAGCCAGCGCGTCACCAGATCATCGGACCGTCTGAGATGGCGCTGGCGTATTCCTGCTTTGGAAACAGAGACTCACAGCAAACTAAGAAGCCAAGAAAACAATGTCTTCCAAAGTCATTCTACGTTTCCAAAAGAGTCGCTGTGCTTAAAAGGAGGGCTCCACATTTGTGGAGGGTTCTGAACTGAAATAGCCAAATTGAAGATTATTTGATGCAGTTTCCAACCCTGCCCTTCCCAAGACCTAAATGCCTCTAGTTTCTGAGGTGCACGCCCGCCAGGATATGTAAACTCTTTTGGGGAGACTCTTTCAGCGCCACCCAGGCATCAATGGCGCCATAATGGCGTCACTCGAGTCCCGCCATTTCACTGACCACACGGTGATCAAGGCAAAACAAAATGTTCGAGACGTTCGTATCTGGTGTAACATCCCGTGTACAGCTCATTTACAGATGAAAGGCTCTCAATCCATGTGGTGCAAGGCGCCATGACATAATCAAACAATAGTGTTTTCAGCAGCATATCTACTAGCAAGAGAAGGCATGCTGTCTAGAGCAGTCTTTTCTACTTAAAGGTGTACCAACTGTTATAAGTGAGCATATTTCTACAAATTTTGATGCTTACTTCAATATCTTCAAAGGCTCAGCATTTCATTTCATGCAAGTTTGTAAAAGCAAATGTACCTTGAATCAGCTTCTTAGGCGTTTGCTCGATTTTTCGAATTAAATCCTTCCTTGTTTTCAGAAAGTCGTAAAACAGTTCGTTTACAGCCATTAACATTATCTGAAGGCAACATTTCAAGCACATTCGTTCCCTATCCTCAAAGCAATATAAAACAGTCGGACGGAAACATATGTATGTAAGCATATGGAGTATGGCTAAATACGAGGCATGCTCTGCGAGAGATGATCGAAGGTGACCCGTCAGCTAACAGATTATATATCCGAATATTGGATCAAATTACAAAACACATACTAACAGGTACACATCACTTTTCAAGCCGGTTTGACACCATGGCAAGTTCAAGACATCGAATCGCCTTGCTGCCATTGGGTGACTGAACTAATCAAAAGTGATGCGTGATTTAAGCTGTATGTTTAAGTCAGGCACGGTTTCTTTGATGAGGATGGCTTCGAGAACCTGTAAACGGCCTTTGTTTGGACATGACTTTAGAATCAGTGTGTTTTCACTAAGGCATGGACGTAAGAGTTTTTGATTATGGGTTTTGCGCACATGCCGGTCCGGCACTCCCTCCTGAAAGTGCACTATCTTGCGTAGCGACAAATACGCCATTGTCATTCCAGTGCAGGTCGAGCTGAGGAGCCGGCAGTCTTCCTGCGAGCATTTAAATTCATACACTTTATTGGTGCACTTCAGCTGGTCTCGGTCTCCTGCTGGGTTGTCCATTACAAGGCTACTAGCCTCTTGCAATAGACAGTAAGCCTTATTTCAAACCGATTTTGACTTGCCGAAAACAATGAGGGCTTAAAGTAGAAGAATCGAGCAAACACACAAGAAACTGATTAAGGGTTCATTTTCCTTTGCATATAACAAAACTTGCGTTAACGAAAGCATGCTGCCTAAGTACACGCGAATATATATATATATATATATATATATATATATATATATATATATATGAGGACATATAAACAACTGACCCACCCCGGTATGTTTGAGCATAAATGATTTTCACTGTGCGGGCGATCATCCGGGAACAACAGACAGGATCCATCAGAGAAGATCATGTCAACACGGCTGTTTTGCAATGACATATCACTGGGATTTCTCCTAAGTGGTGCTCCGAAGAGTGCCTATATGGCCTATAGAGCCCAAGAATGCCCATATATGCCTAAGAATAACCTTTAAGCATGCTTGAATTACCGGCCGGCTACATCAGACGAACCGGCCGGCTACATCAGACGAACCGGCCGGCTACATCAGACGAACCGAGGGGCTACATCAGACGAACCGACCGGCTACATCAGACAAACCGGTCGAGCCCATCAGCACCAGCCATCTACGCAGAAAGAACACACAGGCACGTACGCTTCCCCGGCTACACGGGGAGGGGGAGGGGGGGGGGGGGGCACCCCGGCCCAGCGGGCGGTTTGGGCAGGTCCGCCCGTGACCTTGATAGGGGTCGCCGAGTGCTCCGGCAGGCGGCCGCCCGGTCCGAAATCGCCACCACTCAGTCACTACCATGGCGCAGAACGGGGAGCACACGGAGAAGAAGAAGCTCAAGTGGTCGCTCTCCAAACAGGTACGGTGTGATCTCAGAGCGACGCAGCGAACGCAGCTCACACGACGTGACACTGTTGAAATTTCGCTTTCCCCTGCAGTGGAAGCAGCGCCACCGGGAGGGGCGGCGTGGGCCGGTATTTGAGTTTTATGGAATAATGTAGTTGGTAATGGCATATAAACAACAATGTTTGTATATTGTGCCAGTCTCATCAACATCAGCGTCACCATCACCTTTAATAAAAAAAACATATTCTGTGTATGTGATAAACATCTGAGCCAATACAAAAAAATAAAAAAGCACGCGTAATTGTTTTTCTTCTTTTTTTGCTAACGCGGAAGCAGAAGGAACTAGCAATATGATCCATAAAGCTCATATTTTACGTCTTTTTATCGATGAAATGCGTGCTTCCTGTAAGACTGACATAAATTAAAGGTTATTCAATCAGCCTGGTTAGGGTGCCTCTTTATTGTGTCTTAGCGGACGTAGTACGAAACCAGTTACTCTGACGAATAATGCAAATACATGTGCTGTTTTACACTCTTAGTACTTCGGAGTCGTCTTTGGTGCTCCTGAGTGTTCTTATTTATTTGGTCATGTAGGACAGCCGCGAATTAGCATATTACATGTAGCTTAAACGACCGAACAATCCAAACGCCATGCCTTCTTTAACAGGCGCTCATGTGATGGGGTCAATTCGCCTCCCCTTGAGGTTCTTCCAGAAATATTTTTGGAATTTTTGAACAGGGCAGCTCGATCGCGCCAAGCTTTTGATGGCTGTGCGTAATTGAACAGCTGATCTTTTGGTGCGTAAAGTTAAGTAGACTTTACAAAGTTGCTGATCTGTAGCAGGTTTAAGTCAGACTATGGATGTCAATGAAGGCAATTCTCGGATAATTTTTCAATCTGATGTGACAACGGGAGGTAAGAAAAAGTTATGCAAGTTTGAAGTGGTTTTGGTAATTACAAAATGGAAGTTATAACAACAACTTAGTCTATTGCCGTTGGATACGACACATACGCTAGATCAAGGTCAAACCCAAGCTACGTTTTGCAGAAAAGCTTTAGTTATGTTTTTGCGCTTTTTTTGACTTATTTGGTGCCTTGATGGCCAACAGACTCTTTTTTATTTCAATAAGGTCAGTAGAGGTGACTGATCCAAAACTAATTCAATCAACTGTTTGGTAATAGGAAAATGCCGCCCAGGATGGTTTTGACGTCGATTATGACTTGAAGTTACTGAATAATCTCCGAGAACTTTGGTCGTTAAGCATTTCCAAGACCAGATAAAGTCACACATCTTATATGAAAGCGAGTGACTTTTTGCCTAGAAAAGGTGTCTACCTGTAAGTTAGTGGAAGCTTAATCATCAAATTTGGATACCAACTAATTTACATGGAGCGCTACCTACCCTGCGAGTTTGGTACTCCCAGCTGTTAGTCTTTGGGATCTTAGTGAATCAAATTGGCGCCTTCTCCGCTCAAATGCTTGCATATATATACCCATACTTGAATGTACACACTTTAACTTGGTCTATACCCTTGATCATTAAAATATGTGTACAGGTGTATATATACATAATGTGTGTGTGTGTGTGTGTGTGTGTGTGTGTGTGTGTGTGTGTGTGTGTGTGTGTGTGTGTGTGTGTGTGTGTGTGTGTGTGTGTGTGTGTGTGTGTGTGTGTGTGTGTGTGTGTGTGTGTGTGTGTGTGTGTGTGTGTGTGTGTGTGTGTGTGTGTGTGTGTGTGTGTGTGTGTGTGTGTGTGTGTGTGTGTGTGTGTGTGTGTGTGTGTGTGTGTGTGTGTGTGTGTGTGTGTGTGTGTGTGTGTGTGTGTGTGTGTGTGTGTGTGTGGTGTGTGTGTGTGTGTGTGTGTGTGTGTGTGTGTGTGTGTGTGTGTGTGTGTGTGTGTGTGTGTGTGTGTGTGTGTGTGTGTGTGTGTGGTGTGTGTGTGTGTGTGTGTGTGTGTGTGTGTGTGTGTGTGTGTGTGTATGTGTGTATGTATGTGTGTGCTTATGTGTGCAGCCGTATGTGGCATGAGAAGTAACTCGCAGCATGTGCCCAAAAAAGCTTATCCCGTGGGAAGGCTGAGGCGCATGTGCCAGTGGAAGCCCGCAGACAAGCCGCACGATGCACCAGCTAGGATCAAGGTCACATTCAAATTTATTTCATTGACGAACCACTCCAACAAGTAGGTTAGCTTGCTTTAGTACAAATATAACAGTAACATAAATGAAGCATAAAAATGGCAACGTGAACACATGCGCACCATATTGATCATTCCATCGTTCACACACTTTGTCAAAAGCGTAATAATCATTTATGGCCATAACATGTTACACAATGGCAAGCGTATCGTCCACTACGATACAGAGCTCCCTGCGGGTGTGGGCGGTGACGCGGGCGGCAGGCGGCTCCAGGATGAGGTCGCGCCATACGAAGAGGTAGTGGGTGCTTCCAACAGACAGGGAGCTGACAGATCTAGGGCGCCTGTGGCTGCATACTGTTCGTGCCCGTGGCTGCATAGTGTTCGTGCCCGTGGCTGCATACTGTTCGTGCCCGTGGCTGCATACTGTTCGTGCCCGTGGCTGCGTACTGTTTGTGCCCGTGGCAGGTGGTACACTGGCGTGGAGCGGTACGTGGGGTGAACAGGAACCGGATCGAGACCAGAGCAATGGTGGGTCATTAAAGGGAATGTTTCACATTTGAAGATATTGAAGCAAGCATCAGATATGATGGAACAAGCTCATTTAAAACTACTGGTATGCTTTGTTAGTGAAAGACTACTCTAGACGGCACAATTCTCGTTACAAAATACGCTCCTCAATGCGTCATAATTGGGTTATGTTAATGTACCTTGCACAATACTGATTGAGAGCGCATTGACAGCCGTTATATCTGGAATCGCGCTCACGACCGCCGGATATGAACGCCTCGACAATTATATTTTTATTGGCCTTGATCGCCGCATGGCCTGTGGGATAGCAGGATTTGAATGACCTTATTATGACGTCATGAGTGATAAGGTGACTTTGAAATGCTCTCCCCGATAAGCATTATCCCATCTTCGGGGGCGTGTAACTCAGAAACTAGATGGGCTTAGGTCTAAAGTGGGGCAGGATCGTGAACATGACCGACAGGTCTCGAAAATGGTTATTTCAGCTCAAAATCCCATATAAATGTGGAACGCTTCCTCCAAAGGCCCTGAACATAGCGACAGCCGTCGCCATCGAATCTCGGTGGCGAGCCTCGGTGATGATCATGGCCCCAAAGTTTACCACCCCTTCCGACCTGTTTAGGTAACACGTTCCAGCCCTACCCCAGACGGAGAGGCACTGCAGAAGATAGTGGATAACGTGGGACAGGATGAGGAGTTTACAAACCTCGGACGTAAAGTGGTGACGAATTTTATGCCGGTAGAAAAGAATGGAATTGCACTTTTTGACAGCGTGGGACATGTGCATCTCCCGGGGAAGAGTACCTTCAATATTAACCCACGGCATCTCAAGTGACGACAAAGGGACAGTGTATGCATTCCGACAGACGTAATATGTTTCCCGCAATGCCAAGGTGAAGGGATGACGTAATCAAACCACGACGCATTGAGGAGCGTATTCACTAAGCAGAAAATGTACTGTCAAGAGCGCTCCTCTCCGCTTAAAAGCATGCCAATAGTTATAAGTGAACTCATTTCATCATATACGGCACTTGCTTCGATGTCTTCAAATGTGGAACATTCCCTTTAACCAGAAGATGATGCGGGGAAACCCGACAAGAAACCCGACTCCTTTCACTTGTGCATTTATCTATACGTAAGTTGTTCAGTGCATCAGCGAGGAACATTAGTCCCATAGATAAGACAGTCGCATTAGCCTTATTCCTCGGAAAAACCAGGATAATAGGGATATAGGTAGTTTGATATTTGGGCAACATGCCGCAATCGAAGCATCACCAGAGGTCTTCTGCTATCGTTTCGATTGCGGCATGTTGCCGAAATATCAACCTAACTTTATCTCTATTCTCCTAGTTTTTCCAAGGAATAAGCCTAGTACCACTGTCTTATCTATGCTTCTTTTTTGAAGGCGTAAGACTCTCAAACATGTCGGCCCCATCGTGCCACCAAAGCCGCTTTTCTGGGAGATGAAGTGCTATCAATTGGCCTAAATAACTCAAATCAGTGGTAGCAATAACGTTTTCCTTCAACAGGTTTATAGATTCTTAGGAACGACGAAATCCCGATGTAATCTGGCAAATCCAGCCAACCGCCCATTGAAAACCGTTGCAGATCCGCAAATGACCGCTGGTTTATTAACGTTTTGGGACTCCCAGCAATTGACTCCCAGTGACGTCACCGTAGGGCTATCGCTAGCGACTCAGCCTTGCCTATGACCAAAAACATTCCCTTGCATCCGCTGCTCTTCTGCCATCTCAGATATTTCGCTCGCGCCCCGCGAACATCAACACGAGCTGCCATCGTGAACACACGAGTTAGTTATAGCCTGTAATCTTCAGCGACATCTACACAAAAACATATATCAAATGCGCATAATGATACACTACTTTTTACGCAGACCACGCAGACCAAGCCCATCCCTTGTCTTGTCACGTTTCTTTTTCGACTTCCAGTTCGTATCTACACCACCATAGATGACTGCATATCAAAACCGGGGTTGTGGTGTCAGACACCTGCCAGGATTCCAAGATAGCCCTGGCGCGCCGCGGCGCGTTGCCAAGCGTGATACAACTCGCAATGGGTTGGTCTCATGCCGACCTTGAATGCCGAGATTTTAAAGGAAGCGTTGGAGAAGACGAGAGCTGTTCTCGCAGCTCAGTCGGTGAACCAAGGGACGCTCAACTGATGTGTGCCACGCACGCGCTCTGGTATACCGGAAACAACGTTTGTGTACGTTTGTGTACGTTTGCGTACGTCATCTCTGACAGCCAGTTGGTAGCTAACCAGCACGGACGGCTGAAAACTGACGACATTGCGGAGCGTGTTAGTCTTGTAAAATAATCACACACAGAGCAGGAATTTCTCTGACGAAGTGATGCGATTAACGTCTTCACAACAGGTTTGCACGCGGCTCCATTTGGTCGCAGTGATGCCCGCTGAGAGCCAGCTGGTCTGGTTGGCTGGGCTGTCGCGGCTAGTCTGGCTGTCTCAACTGGTTTGACTGGCCCGGATGGTCTGGCTGGCCCGAGTGGTCTGGCTGGCCTAGCTGGTCTGGTCGACCTGGCTGATCTGGCAGGCCCAGCTGGTCTAGCTGGTCCGGCTAGTCTAGCTGGACCGGCTGGTCTAGCTGGTCCGGTTGGTCTAGCTGGCCCGGCTGGTCTGGCTGGCCCAGCTGGTCTGGCTGGCCCAGCTGGTCTGGTCGACCTGGCTGATCTGGCACACCCAGCCGGTCTGGCTGCCTCGACTGGTCTGGCTGCCCCGGCTGGTCTAGCTGTCTCGGCTGGTCTGACTGTTACTGGCCCAGCGAGATTTCGTTTCGGTGATGGATTCCGACTCACACCGTCTGGTGATCAATTGGTGATTGTTGATGATTCCATGTCGATTGTGAGCCACCAGGAGCTACACTCGCAAAGTGCATTTCATGGACTTTCACGGACTTCATGTCTGATGTCGCAGGACCCGATGCAGACGGTGGTGGAGGACCAGCTATTGGCCAGCAAAAGGTCCAAACTGACGAGGCGGCGCTCCTCTGGCAACTTGGGCGACATTGAGAAGAAACTTGAACAGATCCGACAGAACGGGTGCGTGCGGATGACTCTCGTCAGTGGCGGGCGTGAGCATAGAGCGCCTTGGTGGACTTCAGCCATGCTGGCGCCAGACATGCGGACATGGCGTGTTGTCGTGGTCCGACTAGAGTTATGTGAAGCAAGTGTGCGCCAACGTATTGCCGGTAGGATGAATGCATGTGCTGTTTACGACGCCTTCTATGCACTGGTTGTTCTGTTGCAGGCAAAATCGCCACACCCTTTCACATGTGGAAGACAAGCTCTGTGAGATGTTCCGGGCTAGCGACAAGTCGGGAAGAGTCAACGTCACCAAATTCCTGGAGGCAAGTGTATTCTCGGTGTTGCGTCGGCTCCGTGTGCCGAGTTCATCACAACCATTGGATGACTCAGCTTTCCAGGCGTGATGATAATGCACACGATGGACAGCCATGCAAATGCTTCCATGCCTTGTTGTGGAAGGCCCTAACCTTACTTCATATGCACGATTTTCTACAAGTACTGTATGTGACTCATCGGTGCATATTTGCGAACTGAGCCCCCTGCTCTCTGATGAACGCTTGCTCTTCCGTGCCAAAGCGGTAACCGTGACCTTGACTCCCTGGTCCCTCTAATTCCCACCTGTTTCAGACATCGGGTACCGTTAATGAGCTTTACCTGACCTTCGCATCGCCTCCTCACACGCAGACGCTGACCGCCGACGGCCTTGACGTGCCCTCAAAGACCTTTGCATAATACGTACACTCCTGGTGACCTGTGCGTGACTTGTGTATGGAATCTGTGCTCGGCTGCCAGTGACCTGCCCATGACCTCTGCATGACCTCCGATGGGCAGGCACTGGCACTGGCCGGCCTGCGGCAGACGGACCCGCGTCTGGTCGAAATGAGACGTGCCATCGCCAGCATCCAGGCCAACTGCGCCAGCGACGTACGCTTCTGGGCCTCCGACGGACTCTGCTTCGATGAGGACGTGTTTAAGGGGTGAGCGGCCAACTCAGGTACTGTCGAGCACGCGTTGATGATGGATCCATGGTGAGCGATACGGTAATGAAATATGAAGGCGTATGCACACGCACGTAGGTACGTATGCATGCACACGCGCGCGCACACACACACACACACACACACACACACACACACACACACACACACACACACACACACACACACACACACACACACACACACACACACACACACACACACACACGCACACACACACACACACACACACGCACACACACACACACACACACACACACACACACACACACACACACACGCACACACACGCACACACACACACACACACACGCACGAACGCAGTGGCAAATTCATCTATTACTCGTTCAGTGTCTAGTTCAGCGGTCCACTCGGAGGCTGACGTCTTGTCTGTTTCCAGTGTCATCATGGACAATATTGACATCATCCACAAGGCATTGACGGGTGATCTCGTGATTCCGCACTTCGAGAGTCTCTGCGAGCACCTCGAGGAGCTGTACGAACTCTGCGAGAAGGACGATAGCGGAAAGGTCAGCGGGTGGCTGACATGGGGACACAAATGACCTTTACGTATTGGGACACATTGGAACGAAAATGACCTTGGCTGGCCCGCTTTCGCAGCTGTTCTGAGGAAACTACTCACTCTGCGTATGTGGCTCGACAGTAATACTAGCGGCTGGCTGCTCAGCGGCTTAGCGGCTCAGCGACTTAGCGGCTCAGCGGCTTAGCGGCTCAGCGGCTTAGCGGCTCAGCGGCAGCGGCAGGGGCCGAGGTGGCATTAGCGTTGTACAAGCATGTTGTAAAAGCGCCCGAGAGCCCAAATACGCAGCCAACCAAAACAATTTGATGTTGCTTATCCTAGCTTGTCTTGTTTCATACCGGCTTCTTCTACACTGGGGCAATGAGCAGGAACGTTTATGACACCGAAATTAGTTTACCGCGTAATTCCAATTGAGCTTCTAACCCTGCTCAGAGAGCGCGGTCCCCATTCGGGGATTCAGGTAGAGTGTCAATCGAAAAGAGAGCTGAATGGGCACTTCTAATAGTAACATAGCTATTGACAAGCAGGCTCGGGAATGCATTGTCGTGTTCGCCCAGCACATTCATATGAAAAACAAATGGTAGTTGGCATTTCCCTTGCCGTAAAGCATGCCTTTGGTTGCGCCTCTGCCCATGTCCTGAATTTTGTCCGTGGTCCTGTTCACGTCCTTATGTCTCCCCGGCCCTGCTTTTTCTGCACTTGACTCCCTTTTCGTCTCTGTCCTATGCTGTCACTGTCTCCCTCCCCCTCCTAATCATCGGCTCTGTTCCTGTCTCCGCCTTTGTTCCTGTCCCAGTCTCCGCCTCTGCCTCCAGCCCACCGCTGCCCCGCCTGGGCGCGCCTCTGATGGCGCTGGCGGCCTCCTGCGCCAGGTGGCCTCCTACATCCCGCAGCTGGAGCGCTTCGACCCGTCGCTCTGGGGCATCTCGGTGTGCACCGTCGACGGGCAGCGGTACTCCATCGGTGACGTCAGCGTGCCCTTCACCATCCAGTCGACCAGCAAGCCCATCAGCTACGCCATCGCCTGCGCCGAGAAGGGACCCGAATACGTGCACAGGTGAGCTAGGGGGGGGGGGGGGACGGCCACCAAATACCTGCACTCGTCACCCGGGATGACTCCGAAAACGCGCCCTCTCCAGTTGGATGTGTTAAGAAGGCACTGACGCCTTACCACCTAGCCATGTTTTAATGTGATCTTCAGATCATTGCCGATCTTACTGTGATTGGCGTCCGAGCATGGCCTTACGGCGTGCTAGACGCTAATACATGGGCAAGATAGGAAGTGCCAATCTAAAGGTCGCCACGTGTAACGCTGCCGGCAGGACAAACACGACTGCTGAGTGCGAACGTTTGCGACCCCGCAATTCAGATCACTTGAACGTGGGATGAATATCCTTTATTCAGGATGAAATTCATGGTAGAACAGGAACGTTGCTTGAAAAACAACGTTGGGATGAAACGTTAGGCACCCCGATGCGCACTGCGGCATACCCGGGGTATGCGCGCAAGAAAGGGCTTCAGAGCTATCTCCTTTTAGTACAGCCTGCAGGTCACAGACATGTCTACCACCGCAGCGGCGTAGTGTCATGAAATAGTGCCACGGCGTACAATGATGCCATTTTTCTGCCAGTGACGTCATTTTTATCGCAGTTTCGTCGGTCAGGAGCCGAGCGGTCGCAGCTTCAACGAGCTGGTGCTGGACAACAGTCTGAAGCCGCACAACCCCATGATCAATGCTGGCGCTATCATGACGTCATCGCTGATTAAGGTGAAGTGAACATGCCGTGCAGTTATCACGATATTAAACACGCGCCTGGGTGGCCACTTGAATGCGACGCACCAGGGTGTACAGTGGGGGGGGGGGGGGGGGGAGGGGGGCGGGCGGGTGGCGGGAGGCAATAGATGCCATAAGCTTTCAAGAATGAGGGAGCTAGAAACACCAAACCTACAAGGTCGGCAGTCCCCTATGTGAACTCATTATTGTATCATTCAAGGTTTCCAGATCGTGGCCTTCGTGTCAGATAAGGTCAAACAATGTCAAATGCCAGATCGGTGTCCAAGTCCGCTCAGACCTCATTACGAATCCACCTTTAACCTAGATGCCTATTCTAAGCAAACGATCACTGGTGTTCGTATCAGGTCAGCAACGTCATTAGACCCACATAAAGTCAAGGGGATACAAAAAATCAGATATGCTTAGAGATATAGATTGGCACAACGTTAGGCCGCACGTTGCTCAAAGAAATAGGTTGATAGGGGTAATTTTGGGTAAGATACCTCCCCTGACCTTTTTGAGGCTAAATTAGCCCGGCTGTTGACATCCATGTGAAAATGAAATAAAAAACAACAACTGAGCCATATAAGGCTTTCAGCAATAAAGCTGTCTGGTATTGACCTTGATATTGCCTTTAGACGTTACCCAACCTCAATGGAGTTATGGCAAGTCCTTAAATCAAGTTGCTACTTGCCTAAAAAAAAACATCTCAACGGCATTGGCATCGTCTGCCATTCCGCTGTCGCATCAGATTGAACGATACACGAGGAATTGCCTTTGCTGATAGCCATGTCAGCGACCTTACGAAACATTACTAATTCGCATGCCTAAAGATGGACGATTCAGTTGTCTTTAGGCATGCAGACTTTGGCGCAGTTAAGCCGCAGACACCCTCCTCATCCCACCCCACCTGAGGGCAGGTTAGAGTAACCTTGTGACGGGTTGTGATCACGGTGACGGAGCCATCATGATCACGTGACCAAACCTCGGGTGGCCTGCCGTAATACGTGACCGTGTCCCACATGGTTTCTGTTATCACGTGACCGTCCTTCAGACCGCCTAGAACATCACGTGTCCGTTCAGTCAAACGACTTATGTCGTCTACATGGACCTTCATCAGACCGCCCCCAACACCCGGTGATCCCCGTTCGACCTACGGTGGCTGTCACGTGACCTTGTCTCAGCACGCCCGTGACGCCACGTGACCGGCCTGTTTCAGCCGACAATGGCGATCGCGGACCGGTTCGACTTCGTCTTCCAGACGTACCGCCGACTGACCGGCGGCGAGTACCTGGGCTTCAACAACGCCGTGTACCTGTCGGAGCGGCAGGCCGCCGACAGAAACTTCGCACTGGCCTACTTCATGCGCGAGAACAAGTGCTTCCCACACGTCCAGGATCTCGGCGAGACGCTGGACTTCTACTTCCAGGTGAGCGGGGTGGCCTAGAGGAAGGAAAGTGAATCGGTGTTCAGGTCAGCTTAGGTCGGATGAGGTCATGTCACAGGACTGAACGAAAAGGACGGGATAGGCCAGAAGCTGAAAAAAGATTGTCTTGGGTTTAGGGTTGTTTTCGGTTGCAAGCCACAGTAAAAGAATGCTTAACACCGATTGACAGAGTGAGGACAACGTAGTTCAGCGCATTGAGTCCTGTGAATGACAGCCAGTCAGTTCTGGGTACCACACCTATCCGAATCAGAACGCAAATGTTTTCCCGCAGGGTCTCCGTTGGTTCGGGCTTAACCAAGCCTCCTCAGACCTAAGCGTTTACTTACACTTTTGTCACAGCTATCTGTAAATGGATACATTCTAGAACAGTGTGAGTGATACAATATCTTTGTACTTGAACACACCCGAGTTTGACTCCCATTTTTTCATCAATTCCGCTCTTTCATTGTCTTCATCGCCACAAGCGTCGTGATAGGAGGTGACTTCGCTGCCATCCAAAAGCAAAAAGGCCTAAGAGCCATTAGTTAACATAGCACTTACGCCCTTTTGCCGTGGACAGCAGGTGGGGCAGTATGTGGTCACGGAAAGCCTAGCAATGTCTTACTGCAACGATAAGTTTCGATCGCCTGTAGTTTGGTTTCGTCGTAGCTACCAGTACTCTCTCCTCACACACACGTTCACGCACATGCACACACACACACACACACACACACACACACACACACACACACACACACACACACACACACACACACACACACACACACACACACACACACACACACACACACACACACACACACACACACACACACACACACACACACACACACACACACACACACACACACACACACACACACACACACTCACACACGCGAGCACTGCAGCAGTTCGTTAATCAGATATCCTCTCCCCGTCGTCAGATGGGCTCGCACGTGACCACCAGCTACCCTAAACGTGGCCCACCGTTGGCGTCACCTCCCCACGCCAGAGGTGTTGCGTTGTTTCCTCCAGCTCCCCAACGCAACAGCCCGCTGGTTACGCCTACCCTCTGCTCGGAAGTGTACCCTCGTGATCCTCTGCCCCTTCCTTCTGCTGTCGTCGTCCATTGTCAGCCTCTTCCCTGTCCGGTGTGTCACCTCGTGACATCGGTTCTCCAGCATCTGCCAGTCGTCCACTAACACTCCATCCCGAGTCAGCTGGGACCCCCGGTGACCAGCAGTGACCCCGCTGACCCGCCGTCGCCGGCCAGATGTGCTCGCTGGAGGCCACGTGTGAGTCGGCATCGGTGATCGCCGGCACCCTAGCCAACGGCGGCATCTGCCCCATCACCGGCGAGGCCGTGCTGGAGCCTTCAGCCGTCCGCAACACCCTCTGTCTCATGCACAGCTGCGGCATGTACGACTACAGCGGACAGTTCGCCTTCAAGGTGAGGCTTCGGCGGATAGATCCCATTTGATGTGAGCCCGCGGCGAAGCATTGCCATTAATGTCCGTCCAGCTCGGCTCGTACCCTGTGTAATAGGACATGAACATGCCGTGGTCGTTGAAATGCGCGTTATTTTAGCGCCATATCTTTAATGGGACAGCGCTTAGTATGATACAATGATTATTTTAGTCGATCACCTTTTTGGAACATCTATTTTAGGGCGTTCGCTCGCGCCAATATTTCTTTTCTCCCCCGCCCCCCCCCCCAAAAAAAAACCGCTTTGGACCGTGACGGGCCACAAGTCTACAACAGTTCACTTTTTACTGCGCCATCTTGTAACGGCACGTGACAGTCGTCAGAGCCACGGTCGTTCACAAGTCTACGACAGTTCACTTTTACTGCGCCGTCTTGTAACGGCACGTGACAGTCGTCAGAGCCACGGTCGTTCGCGAGTCTACAACAGTTCACTTTTACTGCGCTATCTTGTAACGGCACGTGACAGTCGTCAGAGCCACGGTCGTTCGCGAGTCTACAACAGTTCACTTTTACTGCGCTATCTTGTAACGGCACGTGACAGTCGTCAGAGCCACGGTCGTTCGCGAGTCTACAACAGTTCACTTTTACTGCGCTATCTTGTAACGGCACGTGACAGTCGTCAGAGCCACGGTCGTTCGCGAGTCTACAACAGTTCACTTTTACTGCGCCATCTTGTAACGGCACGTGACAGTCGTCAGAGCCACGGTCGTTCGCGAGTTGCCGCAGCCGCGGCCCGCGCCGAGTTCGGCAACGTGGGATACCTGTCCTGAAGCTGCCTTGTGACCTCGCTTGCCTGAAGACTTGACCTTGACGTTGCAACCGAGCGGCGCGAGGTCAGTGAGCGCCTGCGGCAACTTTGCAGTGTGGCCTGCCGGCCAAGTCAGGCGTGTCGGGCGTGATCCTGCTGGTGATCCCGAACGTGATGGGTCTCGCCCTCTACTCGCCCGCCCTGGACCGCTGCGGAAACTCGGTGCGCGGCGTCAAGCTCTGCAAGGTTCGTGACAGACGGCTGGGTGAGCGTGGTCACGCCGGTCATGACGTGTGGAGGGCTGGGCGTCCGGCCGAGTGAAAAGTTGAATTTCCTGAGCATTTCACTCCCCACTTCCGCTTGTTTGCACGTGCTTGGGCGCACCTACATCTAGCTTGGTGCATTGCTGTTGTCGTCTCCGAGAAATACCACCGACTTCGTTCCCAACTTATCTTCCTGACAGCCCTTTTGTATGAGACCTGCGCATGGAAACTCGATATTTCACAATGCATGAACACAGGGCATCATAAATTGTGTGACCTGTTGTATCTATATGGTAATATGTGTAAACTGCATCGGTCAATATCGTGCAAGCCAGCTGTTCCTGCCTATGTGTTTTCTGTATTTAGCTGCTTAATTTTCCTGCTGGTTTCCTGGCATATCCCTGGTGCGGTATATTCTCCAGTAAAAATGCTTCCTGTGTCGCGTGACATGTCCTCTCTTGTCCTTTGCTCACTCCATGTGCTTTACTGCCTCGTTGTTTCTTTTCCCTGCTGCTCCCCACGGGCTGCTCATTGCTAAGACATAACCGTCCACATTCTTTCCTTGCTCGCTGTTACCATTTAGGCCCACTTGCTTACCTGGTCGTACCCCAGCAACAGTCGTTTTACTCATCCTTCGTCGCGGGTGGCGTGGTCACATACCTAGGAATTCGAAGTTTTTATGTTCACAGGCACCGACGTTCAGTGTACAAGGAGATGCTAGTTAGCGACGTTACGAAGTAACCATTGACTACATAGTCAATACTCGACGCTTTTGAAGTGTGCTTGTAATTATGAAAGGTCAAACGCAGCGGTCTAATATTGACGTATGAACGCTGCCTGCATAATAGCGCAGTGTAACCAGTACCTGGTGGTGTATTGCGTCAGCATAACAACTTCTTTGTTCTTTTGCTCCAAGACGTGTGTTCCTCATATGAAGTCATGTTTGAGTTAACACATTGACCAATCCAGTAAAGCACTGCACACCAGGGTCACGTGACTCGCACTGCTCCCACCGCTCATGCCGCCGCTGTAGGAACTCGTGTACCGCTTCAACTTCCACCACTTCGACAACGTCTCGGCGAGCGGCGAGAAGATCGATCCGCGCAAGACAAGCAACGAGAAGCGGGCTGACATGGTACACCGCCTGCTGTTCGCCGCCGCCGCCGGCGACCTCACCGCCATCAAGCGCTACAGGTGGGTCCGCACGGGCGGAGGTAATGCCGGCGGGAGACACTGCAGGTTCTCGGCCCCGGTGTCAGGTCAGGCAGAGCGGGATGGTGATGAGGCGAGGATGGCGGCGGTGATGCGGCGAGGATGGCGGCGGTGATGAGGCAAGGATGCCAGCGGTGATGCGGCGAGGATGGCGGCGGTGATAAGGCGAGGATGGCGGTGGTGATGAGGCGAGGATGGCGGCGGTGATGCGGCGAGGATGGCGGCGGTGATGAGGAGAGGATGGCAGCGGTGATAAGGCGAGGATGACGGCGGTGATGCGGCGAGGATGGCGGCGGTGATGAGGAGAGCATGGCAGCGGTGATAAGGCGAGGATGGCGGCGGTGATGAGGATAGGATGAAAGCGGTGATAAGGCGAGGATGGCGGCAGTAATGAGACGAGGATCGCAGCGATGATGAGGTAAGGATGACTCCAGTGACGAGGCGAGAATGAAAGGCGGTGATGAGGAGAGGATGGCGGCGGTGATGAGATGAGGATGGCGGCAGTGATGAGACGAGGATCGCAGCGATGGTGAGGTAAGGATGACGGCAGTGACGAGGCGATTATGGCGGCGGTGGTGAGGCGATGATGGCGGCGGTGATGAGGCGAGGATGTCGGCAGTGATGAGGCGATGATGGCGGTGGGGATGAGGAGAGGATGACGGCGGTAATGAGGAGAGGATGGCGGTGGGGATGAGGAGAGGGTGGCGGCGGTGATGAGGCGAGAACGCAAGCGGTGATGAGGCGAGGATGGCAGCGGTGATGAGGCGAGGATGGCGGCGGTGATAAGACGAGGATGGAGGCGGTGATGAGGAGAGGATGGCGGCGGTGAGGAGGTGAGGATGACGGCGGTGATGAGGCGAGGATGGAAGCGGTGATGAGGCGAGGATGGCGGCGGTGAGGAGGTGAGGATGACGGCGGTGATGAGGCGAGGATGGAAGCGGTGATGAGGCGAGGATGGCGGCGGTGAGGAGGTGAGGATGGCGGCGGTGACGGCGGCGGTTTCGTCTCGAGAGCCGGCGTAGGGGAGGGATTTGGTAATGGCGGTGGAGGTACGTGCATGTATTGTAATGTTATGAAAACGTTGGTGGGCCAGGCTGTAAGAAACCTCCCAGCGGCTCCTACCCAAACTTTACGACCACAGCTCATAGTCACCTTCAATCTTGACCTTGACTTTGATGAGAGGTTCTTCTCTAAAGGAAGTCCGTCGAGGGCCATGAGCCATGGCGTGTCCCGTAAGAGCGTGGCATGACAATAGTCTTCCCGCACCTGACAGTCATCGCAATGTCCGCAGTAGCTGTCCATAACCCCTCGCGGTGCATACAGCCTGATGGAGATGCACCTGGAGGCGGCCGACTACGACGGACGGACGGCGCTCCACCTGGCGGCCGCCGAGGGACATGTTCACATCGTCAGATTCCTCCTGCAAAAATGCAGTGTTCTGGTCGACGCCAAGGTATGCTACAATGACCAGGAAGGAACATGCGCAGTGCCTTGGCTTTGCACAAGGTACATAGTAACCCTGATTTTCGTAAGATACGACACAAAATCACAGTCGCTTCGCGACTAGGTAAAATGTGGTAGATATTTTGTAGCTCACCGCCCAGGTAGGTTCAATGTGTTGCATGGGACAACGTTGTAATGGTCTCCAAGCCCACGCTTAATCTTTGGTGATATTATCAAACCCACGATAATCGCTTCGTCCGTTTCCGTTTCATTTTTCCTGTTTTTGAAAGAGACGCCTTCGAGCCTCTCTATAAGTTGTATTGGTGATCAGGGTCAACATCTGTCTCCTATTTCATACATTCCAGAACACATCTTGATCATCCGTATGCTATGCGCATCTGCTTGAGGACGAGTATCTGAGAAAGAATGGTGCAAAGCCTACAGCTGTCGCTGATGTTTTTCAGGACCGCTGGGGCAGCGCTCCGGTCGACGATGCTCAACTTGCTGGTCATGAAGATATCACCAAGCTGCTGCTGAAGCACTACGTAGAGAGCGGCATCACCATCCCCGACTCGTTCCAGCCCGGCGAGGTGAAGCTCAACAACCTTAACAGCAAGATGAAAGACACCGTCATCACCGAGAAGCCCAAGAAGCAGGGCACGAAGGAGCGTAACTCGAGCGACGAGAACGCGCCGGTCGTGAAGTAGGTGACGACGGCGGTGGGGAGGTCGGTGAAGTAGGTGACGACGGCAGTGGGGAGGTCGGTGAAGTAGGTGACGACGGCAGTGGGGAGGTCGGTGAAGCAGGTGACGACGGCGGTGGGGAGGTCGGTGAAGAATGAGCAGGCGAAGATGAAAAGACCACTAAAGTTGCGGGACGCGATGCCGAAGATATGGCCACAGTTGTGGGAGATGATGTCGAAGAGCGCGATGAATTAGTGGGGATAGAGCTCGTCTTGATAGTGGAGCACGGATCTTGTGGAGCCTTGCCAGAACCCTGCGTGCTCTGTTGGAAGTATGGCAACGCCTCACCATTGGATGCACCGCTTGCCTTTGATGACTCTAGGAGATATCCACACAACTGTCGGCGATGCTGTTCACAGGACGCCGAAGGTGTCATTGTCTGGTGAATACTTTACAGCGTTTAGACGGCTGCTCCCGGTGGTGGTGGGACAATATGGCGGAAACGGCAGACGCAGGTAGCGTCGTTAGGAACACCAGCGGATACATGATGTAGCTGTGCATGATACGGAGCTCTGAGGTCACTGAAGGTGCGAGATGCGTTGAGAGACGTCACGTCAAACGTCAACCATTGGAAACGTCACGGCTCAACTCCGATGAACAGGTTCGACGAACAGAATGAACAGGGCGAAAGAAGACCATTCATGCTTAAGAGTGCATTCCTGACAAATGATTCACACCGGCAGAGAATGCACCAACTTCAGTGGTCGAGTAATGCACAGGCATAGTAAATGATAGAATTATGTGTGTGATGAATGCACTTTCATTTCGAGAGATAATTTTAGAAACAGGATGGCTAACGAAGCCTATTGCTCAGGGAAACTGTTAACCTATGGGAGATAGGTTCTTGGAGACAGCGGTTTTGCAGAAGACTGTCGCGATAAATGTGTTACAAGCCATGAATGGCATGCAATCATGCACCGATAGGTGTGATGTTACCCGGCTTAATTGCTTTTTCCAGTCGCATCCGTCCATAAAAATTCAGTAACCTGTCCTTAAATGGGACTGCCTGAAAAAGGAAGCACTTGCAGAATGTTACAATCGATTCGTCAAGCGAGACAACCTTTGCTTCACTACCCAGAGAGAGTGTTCTAAGCAGCCTATCATCTTTTGCCTCTGATTGAGCTACTACCACATGCACCAATATGTGTGATGTTACGAGGCCTAATTGCTTTTTCCAGTCGTACCCGTCTCTAAAAATCCAGTACCTTGTCCTTAAATGGAAGTGTCTGAAAAAGGAGGCATTTTCAGAATGTTACAGTGGATTCGTCCAGCGAGATAACCTTTGCTTGACACCAGGAGAGAGTGTTCTAAACAGCCTATCATCCTTTGCCTCTGATTGAGCTATTACCACTTGTTTTTAAGGAATATAACTCTATCTGAGGAATTCAGCAGTACCCAGTTTTGTTATATCTGGCTAAAGAGGGGCTTTCGAAGTCAGGTGGGCGCTTATACTTGGGATCAGAAGGTTGAGGCAGCTAGGGCGACGTGTAGCTTATGAAAGCAAGCGTTGAAATGGAAATCGATCTCCTAGACTAGAATAACGTCTACGACGCCTACCGCCTAAGCCCCGCCGTGAGATGATTGAAATATTTTCAGTATGGTTATTCAAATACACATTTTCAGTGAGTCTTCATACTGCTTACGATATACACATACACACACCATCGGCGCAACGGGGAGTCTTCGTTAGCAGTTTTGTGACACGTACACTGCATGATACGAAGTCATCAAATTGAGTTCTGGAAAAAAGTGTAAGCTTTGTTGATGTTACACGAATCACGCACTGCGCGTTTTGGATAGGGATTATTTTAGGGCTCAAGTGTCGGGCCGTTGCTACATGACTGTACATCAGTCTGCGTGCACACCTCACAGTTCACAAAGTGCAGACCCTGCCGGAGCACGCCACCTTTATCGAAATAAAAGAAAACGCGCTTTGACAGTGTTCCTGACCCGCACTGGAGCACCGGCTAGTCAGCGGTCAAGTGCTGTGTGAGCACACAGTTACCATTATTCGTTACACACTGGAAGCTTAGGCGCTCTGGGCTGCGTTGTGTTCTAACTGAAGGAACACAGTTACCCCTGCATAATACAAACCAAACGTCAATACAGACATGTTTCAAAACATTTTCGGGTATAAGAAAGGTGTACCTAACTTTGTCATAAATAGCGGCAAATTTCAAGCTCGTCATACATAGATAAGCAAACGTCAGGATAGAAAAATGTGGAGGCTCGCATACGCTCCGTATTCAGGCTTACAATTTTGCTGTCCCAGATGCTGATATAATGCTATGCCCACCACAAGGACGTTACCAAGCATCATCTCAGGACTGGAGAGAGCAAAATTAAATCTGAGATGGCAGCCTGATCTGAAAATGACATCATAAATCGCAAAATATAAAAAGATGTCTTCTACGGAAAAATACAAGTGTTGCTTAGCAAGGATGAGACAGCGATGTAGAAGAAAATGAGTTTTCCTATTCGTGCCGTACGATCTACGCCTCTCGCACTGGACCGTCTGCATCTCCAGAACTTCAAATAAGACAAAGCCGTTGCGTCGAAATTTGTGGGGTTTATTTGCAAGCAGTGTATACATTACCACACTTTGCCACGCAAGTCGCGGCCTGCGATACCGGCTGCGCCTCCGAGGGCATTTACGAATAGGAAGATTCGCATTGCATTGCTATGTTAACACTGTTCGCATCGGCCACTTGGGCACAGGGTTGGCTTGGCCGCAGTTAACGACCGCCTAGCAAAAAAGACGTTAAAACGCAGACGGGGCAGATGCAGCAATGCTCATATATATACACATTTCGTACCTACTTGAACTGTTGGAGTAGGTTTGCGATGAAACCTGTACACACCATCCACTCGTTCATTTTCCGATTCCTTCACGATATTGACCCGCATGAAAAGCAGACGACCACGCGTATCTCCAAACTCGAGTATCGGCGGTAGAAGATAACTGAGATGTCACGTGCCGCAGTGCAATGCGGTTCTTGCTGACGTCACTTCAAGTCTTGTCCCCTAAGCCTGGAATCAGACGCTGAAAGTTTGAGAGGGCGCAGTATCTACAACCTTGGTTAGGAAGCCAACTTTGTTGATAGATGCGACGGTAGACTGAGCGGTGCCGCTGCTGGCCTGGTCCCACATGGCTTCATGGCTCTGGCCGGATATGACGTGGCAAGCTGGGTCTCACGTCACGGAGCTATTTTGATTTGAAATTGGACCGACCGTCCAGCCCTGAGTCAGTCCCGCTTCCAAACTCAACGATGTAGTCATTTTTGGGATCGAAGGTCACGTCGTCGTCCTGCTTGCAAGTAACGTCACCGTTCGGCCCGTGTGTGACGCCATCGTCCAAGTCGTGTGTCATGTCAGTGCCCTGCTCGGGAGCCGGAACCATTTCATCTTGGTACCCGACGTTGTCGCCGATCTCAAAAGCACCATCGCCGTTCAGCTCCAAAATACGGTCATGGGATGGCTCGCTAGCGACAGGATCCCCTTCGCCGGTGACGTCACCACTCTCCTCGGGTATGACGTCACGGTCGCGTGCCGCCCCCGAGGCGTGGGCCGCCGTGCCGCCGCCGTGTCGGTGCCGGTGGTGGTGGCGGTGGCGGCCGTGGCCACGAGCGGGCGCCGGCGCGCGCAAGATCCCCTTCAGTGGCGCCACGTTCCCGGGGCCGAGCGACGGTGGCGCCGCCCTGCCGGCGCTCAGACGCGACAGAGCTTCTGTGTAGCCCCGCAGGCTGTCGCGGACGACTTCGCGGTGCAGCCCCAGATCGGCGAACACTTCGAGGAGCGCCTCGCGGTGATTGAAGGGTGCGTCGCCGCTGTCGCCGCTGTTGGTGGTGGTGTCGGTGGTGTCGGGCGCGGCCGCCTGCTCCTCCGACAGGCCGCGGTACACACCCGGCTCAGGGCTCGGCGAGATGAGATCTGAGGGGCCGTGTGCGACGGTCACACGCGGCAGCGGCGGTAGCTGGGGCTGCGGAGCACGCTATGTCAAACTTCTGATTGATGCTACGCGGCCACCGGCCATCGGTCACACGACAAAGAAGAATAAACATTGCAAAGTAATCCAAAAAATGCGGGGGAGATATTCCTGACCATAGCGGGGAATATATACCTCTTGTCTTGAACCAGCTTTCATGCAAAGTCTCAACACCTGTATTAAATACCGCTCACCATGTTTTAAATATTCCTTATCTACTTTCCAACAAACAAATACAGCATCAACCACTGGTAGTGAATGATGCATGACGCATGCAACAGCTTCCACACTGGTCACAGTTGCGATAGGCATCATCTTAGCACTTCGCCATTGGCAGATACTCATCCCGGTAGCCTCGCCACACCAACTGTTTTCAGCATCATCCACTGGTGACGGACGCCCATAACTTACCCGCCAAGTCCCCAGCGCCGTCTCGCTCGGCCTCGACCGCAGCCCGACCCACGGGGTACACCCAGCGCCGTCTCACTCCACCTCGACCGCAGCCCGACCCCGGGGTACACCCCGGCCGTCTCGCTCGGCCTCGACCGCAGCTCGACCCTCGGGCCACATCCCGCACCGTCTCTCACCGTCCTGCTGGCAGCTCCACTGGCGGTGGAAGCGACACAGGCGCCGCCTCAGCGCGTGCTTGAGCGCGCTGGCGGCGCCGCCGACCCTGCGCCGGAACTGGGCCGCGCAGTCCGTCTCCTTGTGGAAAAACACCACCATGCCCAGCAACAGGAACAGGAAGAGGAAGATGCCCAACACCTCCGAGATCAGCACACCTGGGGGCGGCGGACTCGGCAGTTAAACGTCGGCAGTGACCCTTGTAGACATTAGCTGGGTATAATGAAGACGTAAGCACATGAAGTGCGTAACTAGATATGGATCCAAATAGGAGTGGGAAAATAACTGCACCACTGGCAGACAGTGTGATATATATATATATATATATATATATATATATATATATATATATATATACTCCAAGGACAATATAAACGCATCCCCATCAACCAGGCGACAGGCTCCGGCAAGACAATGGTTAGGCTGCGTGCCTGGAAATCAGGGGTACGGGGTTCGACTCTCGCAATGTCCACTTTTCCTGCGAGGGTAAGAGGCAACAACGCCACATACTCTAAGCTGCTGAATGCGTCGTAAGACCCCAATGACAACAGACACCAGCCAGCTGGGACACTCATTCCGGCACCATCTACCGTGGCCCCCATGGTCTGCAGCACAGTACGTAACCACTACTGAGGCCACCACAGCCAGCAGCGCGGCACGCCCCCCTCTGCCGAGGCCCCCATGGTCTGCAGCACGGTACGCACCCTCTGCCGAGGTTACTATGGTTGGCAGCACAGCACGCTCTCCCCCCCCCCCGCCGAGGCCTCCATGGTCGGCAGCACGTTACGTACCCTCTGCTGAGGCCTCACGGCTGGCAGCGCGTTACGCACGCTCTGCTGAAGCCTCCATAGCCCGCAGCGCGGTGCGCACCCTCTGCCGAAGCCTCCATAGCCGGCAGCACGGTACGTACCCTCTGCTGAGGCCTCCATGGCCGGCGCTCTGATGCGGTTACCCTCGCGGACCAGACTGAGCTTAGCCTGGGCCGTCAGCCGCTCCAGCAGCACCACCATCTCGCGCCGCCGCTCGTCCGCGTCCTCCGTGTCAGAAGCCGGGACGTCGGCGCCAGACATGTCGTCTGTAACACACCGGTATGTTTGGTATGCTGTCTGTAACACAGCGGCATGGTTGGTATGTTGTCTGTAACACACCGGCATGGCTGGCACATTGTCTGTAACACACCGGCATGATTGGCACGGTGTCTGTAACACACCGGCATGGTTGATACGCCGTCTGTAACACATCGGCATACTTGGTATGTCGTCTGTAACACACCGGCATGGTTGGCGCATTGTCTGTAACACACCGGCATGATTGGCACGTTGTCTGTAACACAACGGCATGGTTGGCACATTGTAACACACCGGCATGATTGACACGTTGTCTGTAACACACCGGCATGATTGGCACGGTGTCTGTATAACACCGACTTGGAACTAGCTACGATAATTTAAAGAAACGTGCCTCAGCCAACATGTGTTCGCATAGTGATGTTTGGCCGTTTATGGTGGAAAAAAGCCAGCCGATGGTCTGTAGGCTATTTTTCAACAAATAAATTTGCTCTCCTAGAAATTTGTTTTCTAACACGAGCTGAAACGCCGTGTGCAGCCTAGGGCCCCGCAAAAGTAAGTTGATGACCTTGTGAGCACACAACAGTGCTTTTGAACGTCTTGCGACGAACCCTTCGTTCCATCCAAATGCAGCCTTAATTCAAAATCACTATTTATCATGAACAGCAGCGTCAATAATGTCAAGGAATGTCAAGAAAGGAAGGCCAGTGGTTGTAAAAGACATCAATTTCCATGTTTTTTAACGTTTGGGCATGAACAATATAGCACATCACGTACGCCATGCATCGGTACATATTGTGTTGATGTTCCCTGCTTTCATCCACGGGTGGATGCTAAATGACCACTGCAGTCGACGTACCCCTTATAAACAACAGCAAAATTCTCACCCACGGAGAGCACGCAACACTGCCTTCGCATCCAACACAGAGGCCAACTACTCACCCGCTGCTCGATGCGATTGAGTACTCCGTATCTGGTACTTGTTTGCCTCTGTCGGCCCAGCAGACACATTCAGAGCACTCGAGGTTGGCACGAATCGCGACACCAGAGTCTCTCGGTCTCTGGCCCTTCAACTGTCCTCTCTCCTTCCCTTCTCTCACTTTGTCTCTCCTGTACCTCGCCCCGCCGCCAGCCTGCCCGGTGACCTTGACACGAGCTCAGGCGGGGCCCAACTGGGGCCGGCCGGCTGTCCCCTCCCGCCCCGGACACCCCTGCCCGCGCGCGGCCGAGCGGGCGCCGGTAATGAGGACGCTCTGTCGTGCGTGTGCCCGCCAGGCTGACACGGGAGAGTCGGGGCAAGATGGCGAGTGGGACGAAGACACGCAGGTTTGGTCGTTTTCTGACGAACACATCCAAAACTGAAGCTGTGTGTTCTTTATGGCAACATGTTGGAGACTAAAACAAATGTATCCTTTCTGTATTTGATTGCATTGTCCAATGACGTGGCATTGGGCTGCATAAGATATTCGGAAAAATCTGGTTTTGGTTAACATTAGACGACGATGCCCAAGAAATACCTAGCTGTGTGCATGAAGTGTTCGGGATAGGGATAGCAAGGCTATCCGAGAACTTCATCGGACACAACTACCGAACTACATTCACATTAAGATAGACTTTCTGCAAAACAAGTCACTCAGTCACTGAGAGAGACCGAGCCCAAAACAACAAATATGTGGTGTCGCAAGAAATATGTTCAGCATCACAGGGCAGCAAGAAAATGTTAACTCCCACGCTACATCTCCTTGACTGATATTTCTAACTCCTGTCAACGGCAACCATATCAGTCCGCCGCCGGTGATCAGTCCGCCGTCGGTGATCAGTCCGCCGTCGGTGATCAGTCCGCCGTCGGTGATCAGTCCGCCGCCGGTGATCAGTCCGCCGTCGGTGATCAGTCCGCCGTCGGTGATCAGTCCGCCGCCGGTGATCAGTACGCCGCCGGTGATAAGTCCGCCGTCGGTGATCAGTCCGCCGCCGGTGATCAGTCCGCCGCCGGTGATCAGTCCGCCGCCGGTGATCAGTCCGCCGTCGGTGATCAACCCGTCACCGGTTAGAGCCCCGACCCATCCTTCCCTTGCCCTTCAGTGCAGACTGCGATTACCTTCGGTGGGGTAGGAGAAAGCCACGGGGAAGGTCCGAAAGCGAGCTAATCCGCTCTTTCTCCTGAGCCGGCTTTACCGTGGCGACCCTGTCCCGATACCTGGCTCCCCCCCCCCCCCTCCCCCCGGCCGCCGGCAGTCACTTCAAACAGAAAGGAGCCATGCCTGTACACCCTCCATCTGGTGCGTCCTGGTGAGGCGGGGACAGGCGGGAATGCGAAGTGCTTGGCGGAACTATACACTGCTCAGCATAACAGCGCTGTGGTGGACTAAGCATGGCATGGCGTAACGCAGGCAATGCGTGCAAGACGCATTCATGCTCCTTGAACTACCGCAACTGAAAAGGCCTCAGCTTGGAAGGCCGTTAAAGGTAAACCAAAATACACCGCATTGATTTCACTTGGCACCGCTGTCAGGTACAGGCGAATACGATGCGGGCATTCTTATTCAAATCGGTGCCAACCTCACGTCACTGAGTCCTCGTCTCAAATATCTCATAAACGCACGCAGTGGCCGTCCTTTCGTATGAATGCATGAATGTTTTTCTCCACTCTCCCGCTCGTCGAATATCAGGCAGTGGTCCACACGGCTAGACAGCTAGAACCAAATCGGACCTGCGCGAACTCGATGCGACTTCCACACGCGTGCAGCTCACGCGCCGCCCGCAGACACCGGTCCGCCGCCAGGTCTCATTACTGCTCGAGCGTGGCGACTGCTGCAGGCAGCGGGCAGGAGCGGGGCGACTGCTGCAGGCAGCGGGCACGAGCGTGGCGACTGCTGCAGGTAGCGGGCACGAGCGTGGCGACTGTTGCAGGCAGCGGGCACGAGCGTGGCGACTGCTGCAGGCAGCGGGCACGAGCGTGGCGACTGCTGCAGGCAGCGGGCACGAGCGTGGCGACTGCTGCAGGCAGCGGGCACGAGCGTGGCGACTGTTGCAGGCAGCGGGCACGAACGTGGCGACTGCTGCAGGCAGCGGGCAGGAGCGTGGCGACTGCTGCAGGCAGCGGGCACGAGCGTGGCGACTGCTGCAGGCAGCGGGCACGAGCGTGGAGACTGCTGCAGGCAGCGGGCAGGCGCGCTTAAGAGGTCAGAACATCCGGCGATTGTTTGCATTACATCTGAGCTGCGGTGAAATGAGACACACTCTGCCATCCCTCCCTCGCGCAAGACTGTGTCTAAATGACCTAGAGTTAACACGCGCCCGGATGGCCTGTTGATTCCATCCGCTGGGGCGGGGGTCAATTTGACCCCGCTGAAATCTCAAGATTTAAGAGAGCTAGCGACACCGAGTTTACAGGGTGTATTGACCTGTACGTGAACTCACTTAGGTCCAAGTTCAAGGCAACAAGATCATGGCCTTCAGGTCAAATGAGGTCAAACAACGTCAAAATCCAGGCTGGTCTCCAACGGGCCCCTTGAACGTAGATAACTGTTCTAAGCAAAAGGTCACATGCTGATTTATGGTCAGTGACCTTGCTTAACCTTTTGAAGGTGATGGTGACCAAAATGATGCAAGAATGCTTGGAGTTTTGCATTTGAATAAGCGACAGCGATTACGCTAAGCTGCATATTCCTAAAGGCAAAATGTTGACTTGGATCATTTTAGGTCAGTGATCTATCCTGACCTTTAAAAGTTCATGGAATGTGTGTAATGTGGATCCTGTCATCAAAAAATTTGAACCGAGCACCATGAACTACCCCATGCAGCAAGCCATAGAGTAATAAAACAGGTTGACTTTGACATTGGTATAACCATCATACCTGACCCTAGATCAATGTAATTTGTTTATTCGATGGTTGTGTTACCTAAGAAAGTATCTCAGAGGAGTATGGCTTCGTCTAACCCTCCGTTGTTGAATCTGATTGAAGGATCCTCTAGAATTGCCTTCGCTGAAACCATGGCCTGACTTTGACCTACCATAGGTCAGTGAGCTTACAAGGTACATCTAATTATTGGCACCAGACGACCTGTTATTCAATTGTCTACAGCTGAGCAATATTTGGCGTGGCTACGCCGCGCCGTTTGAAACCATTTAGGAAAACTCTTCGGGGGGTTAGTTTGACTCCCACCCGAGCGCGTATTAACAAAATGCTTGTGAGTTTAATGCAAGGCTGAATACGGAAAGACCTCTGTAATTTTGCCTAAAATACAACATAATATAAACGTAGTGGAAAACCTGTGTGTCACATGTTATGCACTGATGTATATGAATCGTGTTAAATGCATTCTTTTTTGGGCGCAGGAGTAAGCCAAGTCTGGAACATTAAGAGGTTCAGAGAATCGAGCCGATGAACGTTAAGCATACATGAGGAACACGGGAATTGAACCAATTCATCCCGCAAATAATGCTGTTTTTGCTACACAGTCCTTGGAACGGCTTTGCGGCGCCGATAAAAGAGCCGGCCTCCGTCGTGTCGGAGGTCACACCGCTGGCAAGAGAAGGTTATCAACAGGCTGGGTGACAGACACGTAAAATCCGACTATCCATGAACCTTAGACAATATCAGCTTTATACGACGCCCGGATAGCACTTGCTTGAAATCGGGTTGTCGATAACTCGACAACGTGATGCGGTGCGGTTGAAAGAGTCAATAGGCAGAGGAGGAAAAGGCTGATAAAATAAGCCACAGAGGTGTGGCAGACTTTGTGTGGAGCTTATTACAACGTCCAGCGATCAAGGGCACCGTATGCTTGAATAACCTGTTTTAGTCTATTCGGTGGGTTAAGCCGCACCAATTTTGTGCGATTTTGTTATTTGTAGCAGATAGCATTAAAGCTTTTTAAATGCAAGCAAAAAAACGTCAGGGACGGGGTGTGGAGTAGGGCACACATGTCAAGTACTGTGCTTGTTCGGTCAAGAGCTCACATCTTCGATAAAAGGGACTTTTGTCGCCTTCACGCGCAACAGTGAGGTCGTTCTAAAACGGACGCCGATTTTCTTCCTTTTTACTGGGGAATAGATATCGTTCGCTATGTTAATTCGCACCGGGTTTCGTCGTCCTAGAGCTCAGCTACTGTTCCTTTGCATTGGGAACTCATCCATTAACAAAGATTGCGTGGTCACATTGGCACGCCGCGTTTTGTGGAGCGCCAGCGACTACGGCGGTCATATCAGCATCCAAGGGAAGATTGACAGGAATCAAACCCGAGGCCCGTGTGGCTCAACTGATATGATTCCGCCTAGGGTTATGAGATACATTCTACTATTCGGAGTGTGTAACAAGCAATGATGTTACCGTAATGGCGTCGTTTCCTGCACCACGTGGGCGGCGGCAAGCTAGTCATGAGCTATAACATAAAGAGTGAATGATTTTTTTAAAAAACCAAACTGTAGTTCTCTCAAACTGGGATTTCTAATCAGGTCGCAAAAGCATGAGTAATCCGCAAACACTTTCTGAAAAAGTGTTCACGGAAAGAATTCCATCGTGCCAGAATCAGCTTTCAAAATATCGCTGCTCATATAAACGTCTGAAATCAGCAATGCCCGAAATTGTATTGATTGAGAGTCAAGGACACAATTTTACAACGGTTAAACAGACACAAAGTAATCTTTTATGGAGACGTGAGTGGCAAACCATGCTCCAGCTACGATAAATAGTGCCTGGAGATGGTGGAGTGCATGTGCACATTAGTCCGTGGACTGTAAGTGCATAGGTATATGGTACATGCAGTACATGGTAACATAGCAGTCACAGCAAAGGCGACAAGCAATTGATTTCGGCGCTCGTTGCCTGCATCAAAGCAGAAGTCAGTCACGTGCAGAAGCCATTCTCATTCTAACGGTAATGTGCATTCCGTTTTCGCAGTTTTATGCCGTCGTCGTTATGCTTTAATTTTGTAGCACCATGACATGTTATTCGTCCGTTTGCTGTCTGAATATTTTTGAATGTTGAGTGCGGCAGTGTAGCGATGCTGGCTGGTTGCATGATCAATATCCATGCGTGGCAGTGATGATTTCTCATGACCTCTAAGCAGCAATGGTATCGTTGCAAGTTCAATGTGTTCATTCATTTCAGTCAATTTTCTTCGGTCCTGATGACCAGGCTAACACGTCCACAGTTTCTTAGGCAAGTTGTAGAACATCAATTCCACTCGGTTCGCTATATTGGCGGGTTGACGTAACCAACATGACGACTCCAGCAGCCTGCGGTCAACTGCAGAAGCCTGATGTCAAGCAGAGCGACCCCGGTGTCAAGCCGCAGTGAACTGAAGTAAACCACGGCTACACGAGGCCAGCTATACTGACACGAGTTCTATCGCAGTGGCCTCAGGCTAGCTACAGTGGCTCGAGGTCATCCGAAGCGACCTGGGCTCGTGTCCCATGACTGGCGGCCTGCTTGCATGACCGCGGTCTGGTGGCTCGGAGCGGGTTTAGGCCTTGTGGTACTCGAGCAGCTCATCGCAGCCCGCCCGCTCCGGGTAGTCGCACACCCGCTCGGCCTTGTTGTAGAGCAGGTTCCCCGGGCACGACTGCGGGCAGGACAGCAGAGATGTCAGCCGATGGGACGCTCGGCCCCGGCAGGACAGCGGGCACGTCAGCTGATGGGACGCTCGGCCCCGGCAGGACAGCGGACACGTCAGCTGATGGGACGCTCGGCCCCGGCAGGACAGCGGGCACGTCAGCTGATGGGACGCTCGGCCCCGGCAGGACAGCGGGCACGTCAGCCGATGGGACGCTCGGCCCCGGCAGGACAGCGGACACGTCAGCCGATGGGACGCTCGGCCCCGGCAGGACAGGGGGCACGTCAGCTGATGGGGACGCTCGGCCCCGGCAGAACAGCGGGCACGTCAGCTGATGGAACGCTCGGCCCCGGCAGAACAGCGGGCACGTCAGCTGATGGAACGCTCGGCCCCGGCAGGACAGCGGGCACGTCAGCTGATGGGACGCTCGGCCCCGGCAGGACAGCAGGCACGTCAGCTAACGATGCGTATTCGTTACGGGCAGGACACGCGGACACACGTTATCCTGGTGCGCCTTCGCAAGCAGACCAGCGCCAGTATAAACTTCTCTGCATGGAGATATATTTCAGAATAAGACATAGGAAAGGTGGAGAAAGATCAAAGATCAACTGCGACCGTGGTGAAACCCCGGCAGTGCAACACGAACAGACGGGGAAATAGCGTGATGAGGCGATAAAGCGGAGGTAGAACATTAGGGGATATATTCAACACATGCCGATAAGCCAACATATTGTCGAGGTGCTCATGGCAAGATTGTTGTATAAGAATAGCAATCAGTTGTTGTCAACTTGCTATACCATGATGAATCGGCATCGGCTGAACCCTAAGAGCCGAGCGGAGCATGGGTGTAGTGTTGCTGCCCTTTTCTCACACTCTTTAAAGATAAAATCATCACAAAGTAATGTGATATGCAAGACAAAGCTCCGGTTTGCCTCGGTGACATTAAATAAAATGTTTTCAGGTCTTTTATACGCAGCCCCATTTTCGTTTGCCAATGGAATCAGTGGTGACATTGCTACCATTGACGTTTTTAGCTACTACCATCGCAAGATTATTTAAAAACTACCGTTAAGCCAATTGTAAAGATAACCAATGAAGCCAAATGAACATATTTTTACCATTTAAGCTAGTAACTGATCATTTCCATTTTCTTCTTGCTCAGAGAAATTCTGTATATCAAGAATCCCATGCTCTTAATGGGAAGCGATGTCCCAGTAGCAATACAGCAGTGAGCCCGGCCACAGCTTCGGAGAATAATGACGTGACATGACGACGTCATCCAGCAGCAATGACGTCATCCCGCTGCGATGGCAGTTCAGCGGCCCTGTGACCCCGCGAGAGAGCGGCTCTCGTGACAGCGGCGCTCGAAAACAGGCTTCCAGTCAACAGCGGTTCGGCGGGCCGGTGTCGGCCGCTACCCATCGTCCGCCGCCCACTGAACCGCACGACGTCGGTGGACAGCTGGAGCGAGACATCACGAGGGCATCTACTGAGCGGGCCGGCGCCGCTGCCGCGATACCATCGCACGCACCGCGCGCCCGGCACGCAATCCAGGGCGGCGTGGAGGAGGCGGTCAACGATTCGCAACGCCTAAGCTGTTCGGATTGGGGAGAAGGGGAAGGTTATAGTACGGGGATACGGTTTCGACTTCTTCTGGTTTCGGCAATTTCACATGAAGTACGTCTGCATTGCGGTGGATGCAGACTTCGCTGGCATCGTCCCTCGGGTGTTACACCTGGGGCTGTCCGTGTGTCCTTAAAGTATACTGTGCCCACCCCACGAAGATTCCACCTATGGCACACCGTATCACACTCCGCCTGTGACACACCGTGACACATTCCACCTGTGACACACCGTGGCACATTCCACCTGTGACACACCGTGGCACATTCCACCTGTGACACACCGTGGCACATTCCACCTGTGACACACCGTGGCACATTCCACCTGTGACACACCGTGGCACATTCCACCTGTGACACACCATGCCACATTCCACCTGTGATACACCGTGGCACATTCCACCTGTGACACACTGTGGCACATTCCACCTGTGACACACCGTGGCACATTCCACCTGTGACACACTGTGGCACATTCCACCTGTGACACAACATGCCACATTCTACCTGTGACACACCGCGCCACATTTCATCGGCGACAACTGATGCTGACAGTAGCAAACTCACTGACATCTGTCCATCTTGTCCAGCACCAACGAAGAAACCCTCCCTGCTCTCGGCGGACACGATCGCCTCCCCGTCTCCGGCCTGCCAGAGCCCTCGCTGCCTCTCACCTGGATCCAGGCCTTTCCGTGGGCGCACTTGTAGAACTTGGAGCAATCGGTGGGGTGGGGGATCTGCACCAAGACGTCGTGAGGCACGTTGGCGCACTGGCTGTCCAGGTCGTCCTGTCACGGGGAGGGGGAGGGGGTCGTTACGCGAGGAATGGTGAATGCGGTCACGCGGGCATAACTGTCATCACACAGGTGAGGGTGTCACCAAGCGGACTGGGCGGATTGCGTCACACGGGGCTGGTGACGGAACTCAATTACACGGGGTGATGACGGGACAACATCACACGGGGCTGATGACGGAAACCCATCACAGGGGGCGACGCGTCTCTGTGATGATGTGCATTTGCTGTCGCTCGAAAAGCTTACAAGTTTGAATAGAAAGCCCATTCTCAGACCAGGTGGGCTCTTTCCAAAAACTGGCTGCTCAGTAGTGGAATTGTTGGAGGTAATAAACCAGAGCCAAACGTGGTCATGGAGTAACCACCAATAACAGTTTTTAGCATGATGTCTGGACATCCCTGAGACTGTATAGCAAAGTCAGGTGGCGAGCAAGCGTTGCATTTGATGTGTGCTGCAGCTGTGCTGTACTTACGTCGGGATTCACCGGCTCGGGCTTTGGCTTCGGCGGCTGCGGCTTCGGCTTGGGCGTAGTCTTGGGCTTGGGCTTGGTCGTGGTCTCGGGCTTGGGCTCGGGCTCGGGCTCGGGCTTGGGCTCGGGCTTGGGCTCGGGTTCGGGATCCACGGGCTCCACGGGGTCGACGTTGTCATCTGGAAAAAAAAAATGATGAGAACTGTTTCACAGAAGAGACGCCATTAAGACATTTAACAAAACACAGCATAGTTTAACTATAACAAAAAATATTTCCCTGCACTTACGGCGTCTGTAGGAACACCTGCATATTTGCTTGTCGTAAAACGGCTAATTTCATTAAAATCTACGCTCCCCTCGGGACGCGCTCTGTGACCGTACTGCGGACACGCTGGTGTTTCGCTATGCTATGTTACCACCAGCTCATAATACCCTATGAAGTTGGAAGTCCTCAGCCGCCCCGATCTTGAGACATACTGTGTCATCCCGCAAAGAACTGTGTCTCATCGCGAAATGAATGCTCAAAAGGGCCATGCAAAACGAGGCTGAGTCCTCCGAGTGACCGGAAACTGTCCTCATCACCACCAGCCCCGGCACCACCTGCTCTTCGGCCCCACTTCCGGAGGCCCTGGTCGCTCTCCCCCGCCCCAGTCCTCATCATCAGCCACGGCACCGTGCCCCCTTCGGCCCCACTTCCGGAGGCTCCCGGCCTTCCCCAGGTTATCCCGTCCCTCCCCCGCCCCAGTCCTCATCTCAACCAGAGCCGGTCCTCACCGTCCTCATCGCCCGAGCCGTCTCCAGAGCCATCGTCGCAGTCGACGGCGGCAGGCCAGTTGCAGACGTTGAGGTTCGTGTCGAAGAGCGTGCCCTGCGGACGAGACGGCCGTGAGGCGGGACGGCAAGAGGAGTAGCGGTGCTGCAGCTGAGGCACTGAGGTTCGTGTCGAAGAGCGTGCCCTGCGGACGAGACGGCCGTGAGGCGGACAGCAAGAGGAGCAGCGGTGCTGCAGCTGAGGCACTGAGGCTGCCTGAGAGGCACGCTGTATGTAAGTATGTCAGCCTATATGTCAGCATGCTGCGTGGACTGATGGGATGTGGAAGTGAGAGTCCGTCACAAGCTGCGTTCTTTGAATGCCAATAGGACGCTTGCTTCGGTGTAGCATGACCACGTTGATAACAGACGTGGTTGTTAGCATGCAGATGATGTCAAAATGTGATAGACTGGAACTTGTCTTTGGCGATCAGTGGGCAATGATTATTCATATTATACATCGATGGGCAATGATATTCCAATGATTCAGCAATCATCGGAATGTCTTTCTTTCATGCATTAGGCGGGTGGGATGCAATGATGCTAACATCGACCCTCTAGGAAGAGAGCGAAAGAGAGAGAGAGAGATAGAGAGAGAGAGAGAGAGAGAGAGAGAGAGAGAGAGAGAGGGAGAGAGAGAGAGAGAGAGAGAGAGAGAGAGAGAGAGAGAGAGAGAGAGAGAGAGAGAGAGAGAGAGAGAGAGAGAGAGAGAGAGAGAGAGAGAGAGGAGAGAGAGAGAGGAGAGAGAGAGAGATAGAGTGAGAGAGAAATAACTTGAATTTATATATATATATATATATATATATATATATATATATATATATATATATATATATATATATATTGTGCGCACGTCTCAAATGGTTGGACCCACATTGGTCAAACCATAAATTGAAGTACAAATCTCAGATCCAGAATATCTTGCCCATTCAAACATAACAATTCGCCCTTTGTGGCGCTAATAGCGTCCGAAGTTAGATGGGTCCGTGTCTAATTTGTGTAATTAACATACGCACTGGCTCTCGATGCTGTGCATGCTGCGTGTAGGAAGCCGCATGGGTACATATTTTGCATTGCTTGACTCAAATATGCAGACATCGCTTTCGAATAGCATTCATGGACACAGTTTCTGGCTCCGGTCAGCTCTCACTGACGGAGCCAGTAACCCAGTCGCAAGTTTGGTGCAATACTTCGTTTACTGTAGATAATCGACGACATTGCCATCTGCCGTCAAAGAAGCGTACTATGTCCTCGGATTCACCACGAGGGCTTGCCAGTCCCCGGGGGACGTACCTGCGGGCAGTCGAACTTGTATGCGGCGCCGTTGCTGCACTGGTAGAAGACGGCACAGTCGTCGGAGTCGCGGAAGTAGACTGGGAACGCGGCGTCCCTCTGAAGCGCAGCAGAACCCAGGCTCAGCGGCGTTATCGGCCTTCGAAACCCGACGGAGCGCTGCCCGCTCTCCCACGAACATTAGTACGACAGAGCCTTGTTTAGAGAGGCTCTGCGCGTGATGAGTCAAGAGGATGGGCTGAGGTGTTACGTCCTGACTTTTCAACGCAAGCCTTTGAGCTTAATGGACTATGCATTATAACGTGGGACCCGTGGATAGTGCACACACATGGGAAAAAATGACTAGGTCCCTGTTGTGTCGACCTAATAATGATAAGTGTGTTACTATCCGAAGCGCATGCTGGCTATCACTAGTGACTCATGAGACTAGGACAGCAGTCGGTGCCCCACTTTTCGCCCACGTATCGCAAATGTTCAGCATTGATACTAGATGGACCTAATTATGCCGATCAATCGAATCGAAAAAGTCCGTTACAAAATCAATAAAAAAAAACTCTGCTACAGGTGCAGCCTACCCACTTTGAGTAGCACTCCCACGGAACCATAAACTCCCGAATAACTATCACCATCGTCACTTCTCAGGAGCGCGTCAAAGTTAGAAGATGTCGTTGGTGCGTGCTGCTGGCTCCCAAAATGAAGGAGCACGCCTGGACTCTGGGCAGCATTCCGTGGGTCAGACTTACTAGGGGAACAGTGGGACGTGGGTCAGACTTACTGGGGGTAGCCTGGGTCATGGGTCTGACTTACTGGGGGCAGCGCAGGTCAAAGGCTAGACTTGCCGGGGGCAGTTTGGGCCGTGGTCAGACTTACTAGGGGTAGCGCGGGAAAAAAGTTGGATTTTCGGGGCGGCAGCGTGGGTCGTGGGTCAGGCTTACTGCGGGACAGCATAGGTCGTAGGTCAGGCTTACTGCGGGGAAGCGCGGGTCGTGGGTCAGGCTTACTGCGGGGCAGCTCAGGATAAAGACTAGACCTACCGGGGGACAGCGCGGGTCGTGGATCAGGCTTACTGCGGGGCAGCGCGGGTCGTGGGTCAGGCTTACTGCGGGGTAGCGCAGGATAAAGACTGGACCTACCGGAGGGCAGCGCGGGTCGCGAATCAGGCTTACTACGGGGCAGCGCGGGTCGTGGGTCAGGCTTACTGCGGGCGGCGCAGGATAAATGTTGGACCTACCGGGGGGCAGTGCGGGTCGTTCGTTGAGTACAGCTTGCCGGCGGAGGCTGCCGCCGCCAGAGCGAGAACCGCGACCAGCCTGTCGGAGAGGTAGATGTCAGTCTCAGGTCAGGTCAGGGAAGGACGCGCAGAAGTCAGCCTCGGCTGGGGTCTGGTCAGGGGCCGCAACACTCTGACCAGGTGTGATGTGAGGTCAGATGACTGGGTCAGGTCAAATGTCACCCCGCTGGTACCAGGCCTGACCTAAAGTAAGACGAATGGGTCCGGTTTGGTGTCACCACGCTGGGACTGGAATTGACCTCAGGTCAGATGACTGAGCAGGTGAAGCGCCATACATCGTATCAAATACCACCCGCGGTGAGCTAGCATGAACCAAATTTTGCAATAGTGCGTCAGGAAATGACTGCACACTGAAGCGGGGTTGGGGATAACAGTAGTAAGTAAGCGGGGTTGGGGGGTGACAACAGTGCAATGTGGAGAGGTGGTGTTCTATGGCATGGTCATGTACTTTCAGGTTTGAGACGTTCGATACCTGTAAAACGCACACGCACAAGCGAAAAATGCCGAACAAATAAGCGGTTACCTTTGAACGCACAAACGTGCTCGACCTATTTCGTAAGAGGCCGGAAAAGACCAGAACAAGCGAGGAACATGCCAGAAATATTCCGAGTTGGCATCTTTCTACGCGAGCGCGTCGCCAAGCGAAATAAGGTGATGACGCTTACTGAACCATGACGGCATTGCTAGGTCCAGGGATCTTCTGCATCTTTACCAAACGGCAGCGTATCATGTCGTGCAGCTCCGCCCAGACGCCCAGACGCCGTCTCATGCTGAGGCCAGCGGGAGCTTACATCCTCAACGATTTTTTGCTGCCTAACTTTGACCTTCCATGGGTTAGTGACCTTATAAGGTACATCTGCTTGTTATATACCGAAGGATCTACTATTCAATTGCCTACAGCCATACAAAGTTTGGCGTGGCTACGCCCCGCTGGTCGGAAATCATTTTGGAAATTTTTGGGAGGGTCAAGTTGCCCCCCCCCCCCCCCCCTCCAACCCTCGCCCGAGCGCGTGTCAAGTCTAACGTCGTGAAGTGCCTCCTCGGAGCGATCGGGTGGCAGATTTCACATCTTGCCAGCATCGTGAGGAACCAAATCTGGCGGCCTTTATTGCACCCACAAGAGCTTTAAGTTATCCATTTCTGTCTCAGCAAAGGCATTTCAATCCCAAGGCACCCCGAATGTCCTGGCCCGGGTGAGTCTAAAAAGAACACAGATCCACTTACAGTTTCATGATGTGTGCGCTCGGAGCCTCTTCAGCCACCGTTGGAGCCGTGCGACTGCTCAGGACAGTCGACGCCTCGGTTTTATAGCGTGTATGCGCCGCTATCTGTTTATGAATTTACCACCGCCGACGCGCTGCACATTTTCGGAAGGCGCTCGTCCGCTGGCGTATGGATAGAAGCGGTCGAGATAGCGTTTGTCGCCGTCATATATCGCTTTATGGCGCGGGAACACCCAGCGCACGTCATTGCCTGTCTTCGCACCCACTCATGTTTTTCCTGCGAGATCGCTAGACTCGCGCGCGCTTGATGTCCACCGAATCCTGCAGAATTGGCGTCACGGCGCGGGTACTGCTTCCGTCGTATCGCTTATTGTCAACGGCGACGATAATCCAGAGCACCGAAGGCGGCGAGCCTAGCAGGAAACGGGCGAGCGAAACAGCCAAACCGGACGTGGCTGCGTGACCCCGTGACCGTGACCGTGACCGTGACCGTGACCGTGACCGTGACCGTGACCCCGCGCGCGTGGCGCGGCGCTCAGGAGTCGTGTTTTTTCTAAGCGCGCCCTATAACATCGGGCGTGTAGTCGACGGTGGGTCGTTCGCGCCCTTCTTCCTGCGTTGGCGGAGGCCCATTGTTTAAACGAAGGTCCGCTTCAGCGTGCGCAAGTGTTCCAGGGTTTCTTTGCGAAAGATAGGACCAGGAAAGATACCTCGTCCGTCTTGAGCTGAGACGGTAACGGAAATATCGGAGTTGTGTTCTAGGGTTGGCGCAGTAGGCAGGCCATGATGAGTGTTGCGTGGGGTAGCGGAGGCAAGTATGAGGAATTTTAGCTTAGGAGCTATAATAAGGTGTCTTGGAGGTGTTTCTGCATGGTTTGAGGCTGTTCTGATTGTTATCACATATTCTGATGAGGTTTCCTCGCTACTGATTGCCCAGCGTGGCTTTAAGTATGATTTGCACGTTATTTATATGTGTGGATGTGTGTAGATAGCTGTTAGTCTACTGGCAGCCATATGGCCGGTGGTAACATTCAAAAATTCAAAATGGACGAATCCAAAAGAAGGGAACGGTGGACAATGATTCCTAATTTGCAACACCAAAAACCTACCAAGTCGTTTGTGAGCAGCCAAGTGTTTGTTCCGCCAGCGTCTGAAGTGTCTGAAAGTGTCTGAAAATGTCTGAAAACCCCAAACGGACCATCACCAGCTCTTTGGCAATATAAAAGTTCATCAGGAAATTCGATCATGCTGGGTAAAGCTGTGCCGTTCGGTACGTTTTTATGTCCATGCGGTCTCAGCCTTGTTCGTCGTCTCATGAAATTTCGTGTAGCGTTGTATTTTACCGTACCATGTGATATGATTGGGATCAAACATTAAGCCACTTGTTGGAATGGTCCCTTAACAAACTGACTAGATTTAACTCGGAGCACATACCTCGGACCATAGAGGCAGTTTCAGTCACATACATATAGGAAATACTGACTTTTTTATTGTTGGGCACACTAACGCAGCATCTTATTAAATACATCTGCAGATATACCAGGATTTCACCATAGCTGTTCTGAAAATGGAAAAAAACGTAGTGCAGAGACATGAGTGTTTTGCTTAGTTGATGCAAAAATGATCACAGCTTATAACGCACCACCCATGTTGTTTTTGAGACTCGTGTCTGGCTGAAATGTTAGTGGAGACTTTCGTTTCACGCCTAGCAATTCAGATTTGGCCCGATAGATACAAAATATCTGCCGTGGAACCAGCCGTCCCCGCATATGTTTTAAACGAGGTTCACCAAATGCAAATAGGATTCAACTGATATAGCCACAGTTTCCCAAAAAAGTACATCGAAAGTCGTGGTAGAGACCAAATGACCACCCACACACATAACTCCGTTTCAACGCGCGGCACAACTAAGGACACCACGATAAATTGTGAACAGTTAACAAGAGACGCCGATTTTGCCGCTGGCATTCCATTGCAAGCGCTTCGTTGCATCGACTGTACCTAAACTACCACAGGTCCCAATCAGTGGTGCACTTTCCGACGCGTCGTGGATCCTTCCATGCTTTTCTGATAAAATAAGTACGGTACGATACCATGTTAGATTTCAACTCGCGAGTAGCCGAAAATACCTTTCGGGATGACGTGGCGTACAGCTGGCCCCTGAGCCCTGTTTGCACTAACATCGACCTGACTACGCCTGGTTTGATGGGATCGCTCAGCGACGCTATAACATCACGTGGCAACACAGCATGTCCGACAGAATGTGTGCTGTCACCGTGATATGACCTAAGCTGATCATAAAGTAAGATCGTAAACAGAGCTCGAATGGTTATAACGCTCATTTGATACGTCAGGTATCTAAGGCAAAGACTCGAATGCTCTGGATGTTTCAAACTGCTCCGCTGAGCGACCTGGCTGTTACTCCGCTACAGCGGGACGATAGCTGAAATCGCCCCAGCAACTCAGCACATGCCCGGGTGGCCGGAGATCTCAGGAACTAAGTGAACTAGAGACAACAAATTCACAGGATCTGTTGATCCGCACGTGAACTCACTTAGGCGGAAATTTCAGGTTCAAAGGTTAGGATCTTCGGGTGAAATAAGATCAAACAAGGTTAACTATAGGCTGCTCTCCAAAGTGTCCCCAGAACCTAGGTACCTGTTTTAAGCAAAAGGTTAAATGCTCATTTAAGGTCAGTGACCGTTTTTGACGTTTTCGAATGTCATGATAACCAAAATCATACAAGACTGCTTTGAGTTTTGCATTTGAATAAGTAGCAATGTTTATGTTATGCAGTATGTTCCTAAACACAAAATATTGACCCGGCTCATTTTAGGTCATTGACCTATTCTGACCTTGAAAAAGCCCATGTAAAATGTATAATGTGATTCCTATACTCGATAAATATAAAGTGAGCACCAAAAACTACCCTCATACAGCAAGCCTCAGAGTAACAAAGCAGATTTATGTTGACCATGGTATGACCTTCATACTTGACCCTAGGTCAATGTAATTTTTTCCTTCAATTGTTGTGTTGCCTAAGAAAGTATCACAGGGATGTATGGCTTTGTTTAACACTCCGTTGTTGCAACAGACTGGCGGATTCCGGGGAAATTCACTTTGCTGAATCCATGAACTGACTTTGACCTGCCCTATGTCAGCGACCTTGCATGGTACATCTAAATTTTTGGTACCAAACGATCTGCTATTGGATTTTCTACATTTATTCAAAATGTTGCACGTTTATGTCGCGCCGTTCGGAAACCATTCAGGAAAACCTTCGGGGGGTCAATTTGGCCCCCGCCTGAGCGCGTGTTAATGTGTGAAGTTTGTCGGGCGCAGGCCAGCAGTTTACAACCACGATGTATTGTAAGTCCGGGTACGTGTCTATTTCAATGCTCCACAGTCAGAAGATTCTGAATCTGGGCACCATTCTGTGTTACCGATGGATGCACGTTTAACGACCGACATTTTAAAATCGTGGCTTACATGTATGTGCTGTCGCGGATAACTCATTCGTTCCCAGTCTAGTATTCATAATTTTAGGACAAGGTTGCACGAATAAGTCACACCAATTAATCGCGGTGTTTGGTACCGTCCAATTGCACATGATTCACAACAAACGCTCCTATCTTGAGATACCCCGGGTGCTGTTGTGGGCATGGTATTCTTGGTCCGATATGAATGGAACCCCATATCCTGTAGCATGTAAGTCCACCGATCTACCTACCGCTCAGCCTATAAGCTCACCGATCTATCATCCACCCAGTCTGGAAACCGGCCGATCTACCTACCGCTCAGCCTGCAAACCCACCGATCTACCTACCGCTCAGCCTACAAGCTCACCGATCCACCATCCACCCAGTCTGCAAACCACCGCAGGAGCGCTGGCCAGATGGTTGGGGCAGACAGAACGCCTGATATTTGGGGCAGCATTGCAATGCTGCATAACACCACCTACATCTCGTCGAAGTCTGCCGCGGCTTGGAGATCGGCCTACCCCTGTCTTTTTATTGACTGACCAGGTCTGCCGTTCTCGTGTCAGACCTCTTCCGGTCCCACAGTCCCGGTTAGAAGTCTTGAGAGCAATGAGCTGAAGTATCACTGGGATAGTTGGGGCACGAAACCCAGTAAATCTTGGGCAGGTTGAGCTGTTTTAGTATTTTGACCATGCATGGTGATATCAAGGTAGAAATGAGTTCCAGCAACATCTAAGGCGTGGCTACGTTCATCAAGGGAGTAGGATGCTGAGAATAGTATATTTAATGCTTAGCTTCTCTCCTCCAAATAGTACGCTATATGGTATGTTCGTTGGGGTGTGTCATCAGTAACAAAACCATGTGAGACAAATGAATTATTTGGCGCATGAGTCCAAAAGTACACGGCATAGCAAGAGCTCGCCCCAAAAACTTGAATTCGTGAGGCGCGAGTCCATCGAAATATCGCCGTAAATCGACGCCGGCGTTCCAGTCACCCCATGCTGGACGGCGTCCGCCGCCGCAGGTAACACCAAGCCGTGGGCGGCAAGCGACACAAAATATATTTGTGCATAAAAACGACGCTACTGAGAGCCCGTTATGCTGTCGCACGAGAATGTCGAGGTCTAAGGTCTAATGTGCGGATCAGACATTGTCCGATTGATTGTCATTTGGTAGAAGCTTTATGTGTTGTTGAGTATGAGCTCGTTGTGCGAGTATGCTGGTTAGCATTGATTTATACTTTCCCTCCTCTAAGACAACTCACGTGATGAAAACAAAACTATGCATAGCATATGACTCAGAATATACTGCCTGGTGTGCAACTCAATACACGCAGCAAGTTCTGCAGCCGAGCGGGTGTAGAGAGGGAGGGGCGGTAGGGTGACCCCATGCACATCCCGCTCGTTGCCGAGCCTGTGTATTCGATGTACCCACCCGAACAGCAATTGCTCACAGACTAGAAACCCAAAACGCGTGTTGGCAGAGATCGCACGGTAGCAGAAATGCCTTCGCAGCTGGGCTCCACATCTTGCCGAAGGTCCAGCTCCAGCCGAAGACGTCCTCGGCAGTGCGGCAACGCGTCGCACTC